CTACCGGCACTGGTGACGGTGGCACCAGGACGGGTCGGGGCGAGGAAGGTGCCGGGAATGACTTTATGATTTCTCCCTTTTCCTGAAGCTCAAGACAGCTCCGTCGGAGAGGTTCCCTGGCTGTTTCCCTCCAGAGGCTGGGGGTTAGAGCTGCTGTCTTCAGCTTGGTGAAGGGGAGGGGGTCCTCCTTCAAAGCTGTGCCACAGGGGTCCTGGCTTTTCCTCCTCAGTTCTCCTGCTGGGCGTCCCCTCCCGCATCACCGCACGTCTCATCAGTTCCTCTCAACTACTCGGCTGTGTGGATGGCCAAGCAGTGGAATCCTGAGTCTCAAACTAGAGACGCGGGAAATTGTAGGTGCACAGCCTCCCGTGGCTCGGGGCCTGGCCTGGCTACAACCTCATTAGCTCCTGGCAGCTCTTGGTGTTTCTTCCCCCTCCAGCCAGCTGGCCTCTGAGGTCTCTGCCCTTCCCCAGGCAGCACCACCACTCTCTTCTCCGCTTCCTGGCTCTTTCAGAGTAAGAAACAGGGTCCTCTTCCAGAGGAACCCCAGCTCCTCCTCTTCCTTCAGGTCCACGCTGACTCCTTGGAAGACCCTTAACCCCCATCTCGCTCGGGTGATGCCCTGAAATGCCCCGATGGCCCGCTCCTCTCATCCCCTGAGAACTCCATGCTCCTTCCCAGCCCAGCATGGCAGCAAGACCAGGGACAAGCCACACACTGAAACCCTCATTCTGGGTCCGGACCGCCCCGCTCTAGGGTCAGCACGTCCACCCACAATCCAGCCACCCCATCAACACTCATCGACTTGGGCCACCTGGGGCATTCTGGGTCCGACTGCCCTGCTCTAGGGTCAGCACAGCCACCCACAATCCAGCCACCGCATCAACACTCATCAACTTGGGCCACCTGGGGTCGCTAAAGCCAGGGAGGACTGAGTTCTGCCTAAAGTCAGGGGCCCTGGGATCACGAACCCGGGAAATAAGCTTTCAGCCTGGATACCGTACGCCTCCCTCCTTTGGAATTCCAAGAGCCCAGGACTCAGAATGGGTTGTGCTCTTTTTTCAGAGGGGCCCCCTTCCATTGCCAATGTGCTGGGGCCGCTCAGTTCCAGATCTCCGAGGGCCACCGCCTTGGGCTGCGAACTGCACAGACCGCGAGCTGAACGATGCAGCGTGGCAGCTCCGGGAAAGCCCCTCCCGGGCTCCTGCCCTGGGCCGGGTTGGGGGCTGTAGGATTCCAAGGTTCCTGGTGCACCTTGAAGGGTCCCCCTCACCCCAAAGCGCAGCGGTTGCCCTGAGGCCTGTGAGCACTGGCTTTCCTCCTTCCTTTACTTCCCCAGCAGCAAGGGGAGACAGGCCTGCCTCTAGGTCCTCCACCTAAATGCCCAGCATCTTCGGGATTCGCCCCACCTGCGGAGCCTGTTTCTACCACAATGAAATGGGGATGCAGCGATGTTGCAGTTTGCCATCTGCCCTGTTTGATGAATTAGGTACCAAGGGCAGAGGTCTGAGAAGCAAGTTCTGAGAGCAGCAGGTTCTTGCTACGTGGAGGGGACGTTTTCTGCCTCTCGGTGCTCACAAAATGCAGCCCCTGCTGACTTCAGGCATGCAGAGAGCACCCTTCGTGGAAGAAAAATTCTTCCTTCCTTTCTGGCATTTGAGCTGATGAAATTAAAGCCTGGGTCAGAAAAGTGAATGAATAAAACGTTTGCTCGTGTGACCCTTACCTTTATGATGTGTTTGTACATTCACCATTGTATCTGCTCGTCTAAAAACCCTGCCAAGTGAAGGATTTACTATTATCCTACTGGGGAGAAAACTGCGGCTTCGGGAGATAAAGGACTTGACGAACCTACACAGGGGTTGTGATCCGCTTGTGGAGGGCTGGTGAACCCAGCACAGATCCCAGCACCTTATTGGGGCTGGGTTGGGGGCAAGGCCTCAGGCCAGCTGTCCTGGGTTCTGTGGACAGGCCCCCCGCCTCACATCTGGACAGGCTGTGATGGGTGGTGCCGCCCCGGGGACCCTGTCTCGTCCCTCCTGTCCCCCACTTCCCTTCTCAGCCTCTGGTGCCCGGTGGTCTGCTGTCTCTGGTATGGGGGCAGTGCTCCCAGGGAAGGCGGGAAGAGAGGGAGGCAGAGAGGAGGGGCTGTGACTTGCAGGCCAGGGATTCAGGGATCAGCTCAAGCGCGGTGGCAGGACAAGCCTCGGACTCGGGCAGCGATGGACAAACAAGGCGACGATCCCCCGCCTGTGTTCTCATTACGGCTGGAGAAAGTTCCAGCTTCAATCAAACAGGAACTTCATCGTTGGTCGATGTGGATGGTCTCTTGGCGGGTGGACTCCCTGAGGCGTGGGATGCTCGTCTGCACGCTCATGCACTGGGTACCAGCAGTGTGTACCCAGCACTGGGCTAAGCAGCGGGGACCCCCATCCAGGGCGTGGGGCCTGGACGTGAGTGTCCACTGGCCATAAACCTTACAAAGTAGAATAATGGACACAATCCTTGAAACCTGCCTGCCTGGGCTTTAGGCTCTCCTGCTAACTAGGTGTGACCTTGGACAAGTCACTTACATCCTCTGAGCGTTGGTTTTCTCATTTGTATAAAAGAGGATGATAACACAGACCATAACGAGTTGTCATAAGAAACGAGGCATGTGTTGAATGCCTGAGAGTTCATCTGTGGTTCACAGACTCCCCCGGCCTCCGCTTCCTCATCTGGAGACTGAGGAGGAAGTTTTGTCGGATGCTGTTTTGCGAGTTTTAACAAAGTAACACATGGAAAGTGCTTAGAACAGTACATGCCACATAGTAAACCCTATGAAGTGCTGAAATATGATTATGAGTATTTTGTGGCCCCAATTTTGTTATCTATCATCTGTCTGTTTATCCGTCTATCCATCCATCCATCCATCCATCTCTATCTATCCATCTCTAGCCCTTACTTGTACTTTACTAGCTTTCCCACTAACATCCTCTTTTTGTCCCAGGATCCCACCAAGGGCACCACATGGCGGTTGGTTATCACGTCTCAGTTTTCTCTGGTCTGTGACAGTTTCCGTCTCTTTGTGGATTTCAAGGCCGTGACAGTTTTGAGGAGGACGGGTCAGATATTTTGTAGAATGTCCTCAATTTGGGTTTGTCTGACGCTCTCCCACGTGTGGAATGGGTTATAGGTTTTGGGGAAGGATACCACAGAGGTGACGTGCCTTCCCATCACTTCTCCACTTTTTTCTTCCAATTTTGTCTCTAATGAGAATCAATTCTTGGGGTTCCTCTGTGTGGGTTCTCCTCTGAGGTGGAGGGAAGGGAGGTCTGGGGCTGACTTAAGCTAAGACCTGCCCAGATCAGGCACTTGGACGGTGACCTTGGGCAGGGCAGGGGGCCAGGATGGTTAGAGGTGGGTAGCATGAAATTAATCCCAGAAGGAGGCGCTGAAGGGGGTGTCTATTGGGAAGCCCCTGGCCCAGGCTGAGAAGGCCCATGGGCAGGAGGTGGATAGAGAGGAAACAGGGGAGGGGCTGAAGGCAAACTCCTCCTCCCAGCTGGACTGTCCTTAGGGACCCCATCAGTAGGAACCCCAAAAGAGACTGCGACCCCCAGTACACTGCCAGCCCGAGCCTGAGGTGTGGAAGGACTTGGAGGCTTATGTCTCCCATTGCACACGCCAATGCATCCGCGTCTGGAGACCTGGGAGGACCACGTGGAACCTGCCTCAATGCTGCTCAGGGGAGCGGCTCCCAGCCCTGGGAGGTTGATCAGAACAGAGCCCTTTCGGGTCTGACTTTCTCTGACTTCATGATGGTGACTGCTTGCCAAAGGGGAGAAGGCAGGAGGTCAGCATAACTTTATCCAAAAGTAATTTCAGGGGCTTCCCTGGTGGCGCAGTGGTTGAGAGTCCGCCTGCCGATGCAGGGGACACAGGTTCGTGCCCCGGTCCGGGAAGATCCCACATGCTGCGGAGCGGCTGGGCCCGTGAGCCATGGCCGCTGAGCCTGCGCGTCCGGAGCCTGTGCTCCGCAACGGGAGAGGCCACAACAGTGAGAGGCCCGCATAACGCAAAAAAAAAGTAATTTCAGGGGAGTTCCCTGGCAGTCCGGTGGTTAGGACTCGGTGCTCTCACTGTCATGGCCCGGGTTCAATCCCTGAGTGGGGGACTAAGACTCCACGAGTCGCACAGCACAGCCAAAAAAACAAAAACAAAACAACAACAACAAAAATAATTTCAGTGTTAAGTCTCAAGGTGGCTCAAGACAGGTATTAGAATCCCAGCCTCGCAGTAACGGAAGGACCTTGGGAATTGTGTAGTCGAATGGCTCTCAATTCTGGCTGCCCTTAGAAAATCACCTGGGAGCTTATAAAATGTCCTGCTGCCCCTGACCCAGGCCAGCCCAAGTGAATCCGTAATTTAAAAAATCTCCTGAAGAGATTAGTAAGCAGCTGGGGCTGGGAGCCGCTCCTGTGGTTCATTAGTAAATAAGCTGAAATGCAGGACAGGTGAACCAGGTATCACAACCCGAGCCACCTGCAGCGGTGGCCCCAGAGCCCGGATCTCCGCCTTCCGGTCGGCTTTTTCATCCACGTCGGACAAATCTCTCATCAAGCCGGCAACTCTAAGGCCTCTACGAGTGTTTTGCATATGATTAGCTTACAAGTGTTCACTGCATGCAATTCTGTGCATCTCGGATGAATAGATCTAGTTCTGCCTCGCTGGTCGGACCTTAGTGGGGGAAAGGGTTATAGAGGGCTAACCATGATCATGACAAAAGATACAGTCAAATAAATGTTACGTCACATGGAGGAGCCTACCGCAGGGATCGGGGCACAGAAGTAGAAGAGGTCAGGGGCTGCAAACAGGAGGCAGTGTTTGTGTTGACTCCGTGCTGCACGTTCTCCCCTGGGTAGTGTTTGGGACCTTGGTGTTACCCAGGGGCAAGGTGTTGAGGCAGGAGCACCTTGGGGTCGGAGGGCACTGACCTTCTTCCTCTGCTCTGCCCTCAGGAATGAGACCGTGCTGCACCAGTTCTGCTGCCCAGCCGCCGACGCCGAGCAGAAGCCCGCCTGCTCTGACCTGGCCTCCCAAAGGTGGGAATAATCGCTGGACGGTCCTCCCTTCCCCACCCCCACTGTCCTTCCCCCTCCAAGCAGAGCGCACACCAGGGCCCTACTTGGCCTCTTCCTCCCGAGTCTTGTGGGATTTTTGTTTGTTTTTAGCTCCTCCCTCATATTTCCACCTCTCCGTCCTTCCTCTGGACCCCAGATGAGCAGTTCCCAATTTTTAGGTCATGATACGCTGCTGTGCAAATCCCAAACCTACGCTCCTTCCCACTAACCAGCCTGTAAAAAGTTCACCTTTTTAAACGTCAGGGGAAATTAGCTTGATTATATCTATACGTCTCCCGTGGCACCCGAAGGTGCCCCACCCATAATAGCACCCATCCCGCCTCTCATATCCAAGATTTGCATTTTTCTCTCTAATCTTTCTCCTTCCACAAAGGAGCCAAGGTAACTTCGATTTGAAGGTTTATCATACTGTGCTGGGTTTGCCGACCACCTGGGAAGGGAGGGGGCCCACTGAGAAGTCAGGTCTGGAGTCCCGTCCCAGGCTCTCTTCCCTGCCCTGCTCTGCATCGTTCGCTGGCCCTCTCTTTTCCCCGCAGGCTCTCTCCATCGCTTTCGTTCTTCCCCTCCCCTCCATCGTCCACCGCCTCTGACCCTCCGCCTCTCCTCCTCCCCTGCGTCAGTGTCCTCTCCCCCCGGCTCGACCTGGAGCTGCCCCCTCTGTACTGGTCACACTTTGTCCTCTTCTCTTTCCCCCAAGTTTTCCATCTCAGTTCAGTGCATTTCTCTTTTCTTTCCTTGTTTTTACTTCCCCGGGGGTCAGGATACTCGGATTCCAGCCTGAAACGCACCCCATCTGCAGTCTCCTCTTGTTGGAATGAACTTGGGCAAGTTCCTGGATTCCCCTGGACCCCACCTTCCCCGTCTGTACGATGAAGGGGCTGGTCTATGTAGGGAACAGCATGACTTCTCATCTCACCGAGGCTTCTGGGCTGCTCAGGGCCTGGACAGGCTTTAGGACCTGTCTCATGGGAGGGCAGCAGAAGGTTCAGAGCCGCGAGCACCCTGGCCCAGACCTGCTGCACTAAGGGCTGCCTCCAGGTTGAAGCCTCAGTGATTCCATGATCCCTTCATTCCTTGGGAAGTAACTGGGCAGTCATCAGAGATGGCAGCCGGTGGGCTTGGGGATGGAAAACCTCCCCCGAAAGGTGTTACTGCTTGTTTTCCCTCAAAGGGAGTCCGAGCGGGTTGGGAGAGGCAGGACCCTGGGGAGGCAATGGTGGGAGTTGAGCCATAATAAGGGGCCCACCCTGGGGATCCAGGACTGCAGGAGGCACGACCACACCGGGGGACAGAGACGAGGGGAGGCCAGAGCTGGGCCGATGCCCAGAGGTCTCGGGGCCGAGCTCTGTGCCCAGGACCTAAGGAGAGTGAGGCCACCTGGATCTCGAGGGGCTCCCCATCCAGGGGGCATGCGATGCCCCCAAGTTGAAAATGGCCCTCCTGGAAACTGGAAGGAAGAAGAGAAACGGGAGAAAGAGATGGTGGGAGAGGAAAGGAAAGGGGGCAGAGAGTGAGTGGCCCAGAGTGATGGACAGCAAGGAGGGAGGGTGATGGACAGCAAGGAGGGTGATGGACAGCAAGGAGGGTGATGGACAGCAAGGAGGGAGGGTGATGGACAGCAAGGAGGGTGATGGACAGCAAGGAGGGAGATGGACAGCAAGGAGTGGGAGGGCCTAGCTCCATCCCCTGGGCGGTCACTCTCAGACACAGGAGAGGCTTCTTCCTAGACATGTACTCCTTGGCAGGGAGGAGCTGTCTGCTCTGTCTCCTGCCCAGCAGGCCACCTCAGTCCCGTCCACCTCCATTGCTGCCACCCAAGCACCGGCATCAGGTGAGGGTGGATAACAGGGCGCCCCCAAGATGCTCGTGCCCGGCAGGCGCTGGGGACGGAAATCCTCCCTTGGGTCTCCCACGCCCCTTCCTCTCTCTCCCGCTCACCCCTCCATCTTTTTCTCCAACTGCCTGGCCTCCTACCCCGAAGCCCTGAGTCCTGGTCGGAGGCGGTGGGAGGACCTGGTACGGGAGACAGAGGCGGTATACTGGGGCGGGGCGGGGTGCTGCCCCTTCATGGGGGCCGGGCGCCAGGGGAGCAGGCTTCTTATACATCTATTATCAGTTTCCCATGGTGGGGCAGTGATGCTGGGAGGGAAGGTGGGAGGTGGGAGATTCTCTTGGTCCCCGAGGGCCTGTGACACTGCCCACTGCCGCCCTCCGTCTACACGGTCCAGATCCTCGGTCGCTGTCTGCTTCTGTTCCCAGTTATCCCAAGTCGTCCCATCTGTCTGGCCTGTAGTTTCCTGGAGTGTGTTTCTGTCTGTTTGTCTGTCCGTCTGTCTGATGTCAGCATCTCAGCTTCTCTGGGAGGAGCCCCCTGGGTGCCTTCAGACGTCCAGTAGTCTGCGTGTCAGTCAGTCTGTCTGTTCTTGGCTTCCTGGGGGGATTCCACCCCCAGATACGTTTTCTCCCATCAGACTCCCAACATCCCTGTTCCCAGCCTTATCCGTGACCTTCCCAGCCCCTCCTTTCCCTTTGACCAGGCATCCCCGCCGCCAGAGAGCATACCCAATCCCTCCCCCACCCTGCCCCCGAGTCACTCTAAGGAGGTGCCCAGGTCAGAGGCCTTGTGTGCTGTGAGAGCACACGGTGGCTGGATCGCCAGGCCCTCAGGGCCACGCTGGGGAGAACCTGGGCTGGGCTCTGAGACAAGCCAGCCCCTCCCACTGCTCAGCCTGGGTTCCCACCAGCTCAGCAGGGCCCCGGCCGAGACGGCCTCCTCTGGGGTTTCCAGGGATAAGCCAGGTGGTCTCTACAGGGGGCCCAGTAAGGACTCCACGCCATCAGTCAGAGCTCAGGGTCAGGGTCTTTGGTGTGTGAGAGCAGGGCTGGCCACCTCCCTCCTCTGTACCTGGCCAACAGTGACCCAGGTCAGCAGAGCCTGAGGTGCCACGCCCTCCCTGTCCCCACCCAAGCTGTGGGGCTGAGCGAGAGTCCCCTTCCTGAGCCGCTGGCCTCATCCCCGGCGAGTGGCGGCCCATCACCCCTAGCGCCTCTGATCAGACGCACAGAGACCAGCTGCTGCAGCCTGAGGAAAACCCTCGGCCAAGGGAGACCTGGGGGTCCAGGAGAGACGCTTGCCCCTCCCAAAGCCCCAGTCCTCGGGGTGTGTGTGTGGGAGGGGCTAGGACGGCCTTCCCCAGCTACCCAAAGGGCAGCCCTGGGGGATGGGGTCAGGAGAAACTCTGTCTTGGGACACGGAGCCTGGGGGGAGCGAGGGATGGGCACAGTGGGCCAGGGGACGGGGTGCAGTGGCGTGGTTATGGGGTTGGTGAGGTCTCTGAGGCTGGACCACCCGTGCATCGCCCCAGGCACACAATCCATGCTCCCCCCCCCCCCCCCCCCCCCCCCCCCCCCCGCTGCCACTAATGACAGGGCTTTATTCCGGGCCACTGAATAGGCCAGTAATCACAGCCCTGCTTTCCATCCATGGGCTCTCCTCCCTCTGGGGCTCTCAGTGACGTCAGGAACAATGACCCTGGAGCTGGCCGCTGCGTCCTGCATCTAGAGAAATAGTGGCCCATTTGTCTCCGTGGGTGGCAGTGGGGCCCGAGAGGAGGAAGGCTCGCTTCTGTTAGAGTAATGACAGGAGGTGGCGGGGGAGGAGGGGTCAGGAGGGGGCCACTGGGCAGGAAACAGAACCACCCCCAGCCCTGGGGAGAGGGAGGGTCTGGGGGGGCACGCTGCGTGTTGGGTCCTTCCGCTAGAATGGAAGAGGCCTAATATTACGGAACATGCCAGGGCCGTGTCACTAAGCACTCAGTACTTTATCTCGCTTCATTCCGTGTGACAGCGCTGTGGCCATTTGCAGATAAGGACTGGACGGTGGAGAGAAGTTTGGGGTCTTGACAGAGGGACCCCTGCCAGCTAGTTTTGGAGCCGGAAGGTCAGCCCAGGCTGAACTCCGACAGGCAGCCGCGTTCCACGGAGCTGCCGCTGGGATTTTCTTTAGCAGCATAGGAGCAATCCTTCCAGCCATTCCATTTGATCCTAAATAACATCTATTTTCTCTGATTATAAGTTATACTGCTAGTTGTTGGAAATGTGGTAAATGCAGAAGTATAAAGAAGAAAATAAAAATGGAAGGCAGTCGTATAGAATGAACCACCGTTAATATATTAGTGTGCAACCTGCCAGGGTTTATTTTTCTAGGCTGGGTTTTACATTTTCTCCCCAGGAAAGAAAAAACGATTTTATTGCCTGCCCTTCCCACGCAGGGCACTGTAGCCAAGGAGAGCCTGCCGCCCTGACCAGTCCCTCCTGGTGCCCCTGCCCCCATCACCTGCCAACCAGCCAGGCCGGGGGCCCTGCTTGGGACCCCTGAGGAGGGGACACCCAGCCAGGAGCGGTGTTGCAGGGAGAGCCCTGCGTCAGCAACCACCGCATCTTGTCTCCCCACAGCGGCCGGAGGCCTGATCAATGGACCAGCCAGAATTTACTCAGGGATCACAGAGCAATTAAATTCTCAAATCGATACAGTTTAGGCTTCAAACAGCTGGGCTCGGGGGCCACTGAGTCCTTTCCGGCTGCATTAGTCGCATCCAGGCTCCAAGGCTGCTGGGAACCCTGCCCCACCCCCCGAGGAAGTGGGGAGGGTCATTCTGGGGCTGCAGAACTGCATGCTCTTCTCCAGAGAAGCACAGAAAGGCCTCAGCTTCCCTCGTGGCCCTGGGTGGAGGCAACGCAGGGGTGGAAGCAGGCCCACCCGGCCTGCCCGGCCACCAATCTCTGGGGTCCTCGCATCTTCACATAAGGAGGGCCACGGGCAGCAGAAAGGCCAGGGGGGAGCTGTCCCATCTCCGAGGAGACCAGAGATTCGTTTCCAGAGGTCTTTGCAGGGGTTGGGGTCCTGCACCCTGAGCCAGGGCTGTGAAGACCCCCAGAGTGCGCTGCCCTGGAGTGGAGCC